GTATTGTAATACTCATCGAATGCATCGCTCTGGAACGTAGCCTTGTCACCACGAGAATCATATCTGCAAACTCTTTCAGGGAAAACGTTCACAATTAGTCCTAGTATGATGAATGACCCTTTTTTAGTTGCCCTTGGTAGGCTTCATATACTATCACAATCAGCGAGCATTGATTAACAGCAGCTGTATGAAAAAAGTAATAACAACAATAACAACTACATGTAAATTCCGGGAGGGAGAGTTGCTTTCTGTACACTTCTACCCGAATTCGCATGTGAACTCTCGAGTACTCAGCTGAGGAGTGCTAAGATATTCCTCAATTTACGAGGATAATATTAAACTCGATAAAACGGCCGTATACGGTGAGTAGACTCCACCCATTCTGAAATTCAACAAGTGCCTTACCGCCATCCGCTGGGTTCTTCATCTGTTCCCTTGTTCTGTTGGTGATGGCTGCTGACCCCAAGGCCTTTCCGTTTGTAATAGTTCTTGCTGTTCTTACCCATCGAGAAACAAGACTGCATGTTCAACAATTATCATCACAGAGAAGAACTAACTGTTTTTACTCGAGTAAAAACGTCACAAAACACACAACGCGCCGTTTCAATGGTAAATTTTAAATAATTCTCTTCCGCCACAAATAAACTCTCGCGTGTCTACTTGAGATTCTCAAATGCGCAAGATTTCAATTTCTTACTGCATCCATGGTGGAAATTCTACCGTAGAATCATCGTTAACACTTGCTAAGGGAGTGGAGGGCTTGACAGATAATGATGGCCGCAGCAGCCTTACGAGAACGTCATTGTTGTATCAATTGATATAATCACTTGCAAGATGACCTCAACGTTGTAGTAGAACTAATGATAGGAAGCCCCTGGGTACCTTATACTGCTGTTGGCAATGGCAATCTACTGTGTTAGTGAGGCAAGACACACTTGTTGTTACCAAAGCTATTTATGGACTCTCGAAACGGTAACAACATTGAGCTCACTCAAAGGGTGTATGGGCAGCAGCATAGTACAGCGGCCTCACGTTTCGAGACCAACAACAATGCTAATAACGTAATTTATGCATCGACCACTTTCTACACCTCTAAAGTGTAAGTGGGACAAGCGACGCCCTACTACTACTACTACTACTACTACTACTACTACTACTACTACTACTACTACTACTACTACTACTACTACTACTACTACTAATACTACTACTACTACTACTACTACTACTACTACTACTACTACTACTACTACTACTAATACTACTAATACTACTACTACTACTATTACTACTACTAGGTACTTGTTGATTCTCCTCATCCTAGCCGATTCAATAGCAAATGTTGGTTTTGACTACACTACCTCCCAAGCGGCTCTCATCACATACTTCACATTGCAGGTATGTCCTCTACCATACCTCGATTACAATCATCAATATCAGGTTATCATTCATTGCACATTATTACTCGCCGCATTCCTCCTCTCCTGGAGCACCTTCCTACAGCGTTTCGGCCTCCTAGGGCTAGCTTTTCGAGATGCTTGGCCAGTGCTTCTCGCTGGAGCTCTGCGATTTTGTACTCTTGCTGACAGTATTAAAATTTTTGGAAATTTTCTCACAGCACGGGTGTTGGTGACAATATGAAAATTGTGATTTGCCTTGATAAAAACAACAATGTAGTTTCCAGTAAGTATATAGCAAGACTGTGCAGGTGTTTCGGGAAAAGTCTACACTTGTGAGAAAATTCCTGAAAACTTCAAAAAGTAGAAAGGAAACTCTTCAACTGAGCCAAGGAATGCAAATATATATTCCTCCAACACTGTTATCACCTACTTCAGCAATGTGAAAATTTTCTCATTGGTTTCTCTTCACTTCTACCCTCTCCTTATGTGGACTTCTGAGCTTATATTCCTACTCCAACAACACTGTATAGAATAATCTCATCGAGTTGCCAGGCACTTTACTTGCCGTCCGCATCCCTCGTATGATATCAGCGTTTGAAGATTTGGAGGATACTGGTTCGCTACCGTTAACCATTCACTCGATGCTGTCAGTGTTGATGTACACAGCAGTGTGCAGGTGAGTACTTGTTACTATCACGCGGAATTCGGTGATCTTTCGTTACGCAAGGTACGCAGTAAGAGTTGGTCGGGCTATGTACTATTGCCCTCGTGTGTGGGTCGAATCCTCAACTGGTGGAAGACTATGAATATTCATGATCATGCACTTGTGTGGCTTCGATAGTGATGGTAGAGTTGCACAATTCAGGGAAATTATGATTATGTTACCGTCTGGGGGTCTACTCTAGAGTTGGGTGGGAATATATGCACATGGTGAACTACATGTGTTGTTAGGAATATGGAAATTTTGAGGAAATTTTGCGAAATTATCGTTGATTTTTGTATACTCATACCCAAAATCGTGTAATTTTTCAAAAAATAGTGAGGAAACCTACGAGCTCAGTTGAGGAAACCAAACATATATTCATGTACTGACCTAGAGTTGGCAGCAATCACATGCACTTGCGTGAGCATTCATAAAGTGACGCGGCGCGCTCACACTGAGTATAGTGCTCGACTGCTTCTCAACCTTTTCTTCAAAATTCATAAAAATTCCAA